ACACACACACACACACACACACACTGCCCAGGGCTTTAGAACTGGCTGTTAGCGGGGAAGTGACAATCAAGTTATGAACATGGGTTTTCTGACGCCTACCTCGGGGGAGCTAATTTCTCCTCTAAGAACTCCTCAATCTTATTCACATCCGTCTTGACTTCACCATCAAAAGTCATAAAAGGAGGGTTTGTTCCGGGAGCCAGGTTCTGCAGGTCTGCGGGTTTCCTAGGTGGGAGGAACAGCAGTGTTTATGGGCCACCACGAGAATCTGGACTCATTTCCAGGGCTGAGCCATGTCCTCCCCAATGGAAGAGAAGCAACTCTTGAGAACTGCAAAGTAGCTTGTGGGTTTACAAAAATGTCTTGCTGGTGATGAAAGTAAAGGCATTCATTGACAAATTATGGATGTGTTGATATGCCCCTTTGTGAAAACTGAGCTCAAAGGGGCACATCAACAAACAGAGGTGAATAAGTTAATTCTCCCTAGTGTTATCAGCCAGGAATGGTGCTCAGACAGGCTTGGGAGAGTCACAGCTGACCAGCAACTGGGAGAGCAGGTTCTTCATGGCACCCCCAACCCCTACTTCTTCCTGATTACTGCCCAGCCAATCCTGTCCTGACTCAGCTTGTCCCATACACGGGCTTCAGTTCAGTCTTTGACTGAGGATGAACATGCCCTTGACAGCACCGAGGGCCTCAGGTCTCCGTGTGTGTGTGTGTGTGTGTGTGTGTGTGTAGGGAACTAGTTACAGTTATTTCAATAAAGCAGATGGCTTGTCTTACCTTTTCAGGTCCACTGTCGTCACATTAAATATAACACCTTTCAGCCAAAGAATCATAAAAAGACGCTGAGAAAAGGGGCAATTTCCGATACTCTCACCATCATAACCAGCCTACAAGTGGAGAAAGAGATTTCCATCTGAGCCAGTCTCATGATTATACATGCCAACACCACAATATGCACATGCAGAATCATTATAGGTTGATATAAATGGTCATGACACTGTGAAAATCTTTCTGAGGCCATTTTACCAGCCTCAACGTGGAGCTGGCAGTGGATGTAGAGGATGGGGGAGAGGACACCCAACACACACACACACACACACATGCACACATGCACTGCACTGAGCATTTTCTTTCTGCCTTCCCCACCATCTCACCAATTCCTGCCAAACTGGACCTCTGAGCAGCAGTTCACAGATGGAAGGAGCAGAAGTGGGAACTTCCTTCATCACCAAAGGCGAAAAAGAAAGGCATGTCCTTTCCCTCCCTCTATCTCTCCATCCTCTCTGAAGATCAAATATTCTTAGCAGCTTTGGTGTAATAGCTAAAACCTGGAAACCACCCAGATACTATCAAGAGTAGAATAAATGTATCAGCGTAGTGTATCCATGCCTTGAGATACTATACCACAATGGAAAAGAATTAGCTATCATACAAACAACAGTATGGCTGCATCTCACACACATAATGTTGAGAGAAAGATACCAGACTGAAAAGCATCCTGCATGATTCAGTGTGGGCAAAGTTCAAGCACGAGAAGGCAAATTTCTCTATGACGATGGAAGTCAGAACAGCAGATGTCCCTGGAAGATGATTGCTGTCTCGAAAGGACAGAATGAAGACTTCTGGGTGGTGCCAATGTTGTTCTGTGTCTTAATCTGCATGGTGGCTACATGGTTCTATTTGAGTGATCAAAGTCTTAAGGTTTGGGTACTGTTGGAAATAGATGCTTGGTGTCGCAAAGAAAAATTAGCACTGAGACGAAGGATTTTTCAGTAAAGCAATTTTTACTTTCTGGGCTGCAGGAAGGGTTTTCTCACTAGCCATTGTGCCACGAGAGTACAAAGAACAAAGGAAAACACACAAATTTAGCCCTTATGCATTTGGGTCATCCTTACTGCTGTGTCTGATCTCCGTTGGCTGGAGCCAGACCTCACAATCTAAACTAAAACCCAATTGGCTAACAATTTAAAACTTTTCTAAACAGGTAAAAGCAATGGAGAGCTGGGACATGCCTGTGAGCAAGTCCAGCACAGATATCTTGGTTAAAGTACAAGGACATAGAACATACTATGTGCCTGTGAGCACGGCATGTCTAATAGCTACATAGGACAGGGCTTAACAAAGAGCTACTAGCACACTTGTTTTTTAACAAGAAAGGAAACTTTAAAAAGGAACTTTTCTACTTCCCACAGGTACTTTACGGAATATAAGTGAAGCGGTTTATATATTTGTCCCAGCCCAAATCTCATGTTTAATCCACCCCCATGATCCAATTGCCTCCCGATATGGGAAGTGGGGCCTGATGGGAGGTGATTGGATCTTGGGGGTGGATTTCTCATGATGGTTTAGCACCATCCCTTGGTGTTTTCCTCTCTATGGTTAGTTCTTGCAAGATTTAGCGGTTTACAAGCTGTGGCACTTCCCTGTCTCTCTTGCTCCTGCTCTGGCTCTGGGACTTACCTACTCCCCCTTTGCCTTCCACCATGATGATGGGGAGTTTTGTGCGGCTGCCCCAGAAGCTGAGCAGATGTCAGCACCATGCTTCCTATAAAGCCTGAAGAATTTGAGCCAACTAAGCCTCTTTTCTTTATAAATTACCCAGTCTCAGGTATTTCTTTATAACAATGCAAGAACAGCCTAATGCAATAAGTTTTACCTAAATACAAAATAAAAGAAAGTTAAAATCTTAATTTAAAAAAATTACAGAGTTTGACTCAGTGGGTCATGCACGGGACCCAGGAATCTGAATTTTTAACACGTTCCTCCAAAGTGATACAATGCTGGTGGTCAGAAACCATGCTGTGAGAAGTCCAGCCTTTGTCCAATCTTGGGCAAGAGACAAGGCTGGTGCCACCAGCATTACTGTCAATGTGTAAGACAAAGTGATGTGAACCCCTAATTGGACGATCCATTGGTAGGAAGACTTGCAGGGCTTCCCAGGTGATAAACACAGCTCCATAAACGTGGAGTTATTGGTAACCTTACTGCATATGAAGGGGCACCAGTAGACCCAGATCACTGCATTCAGAGTCCCTAAGCTCTGGGCCTGTGTGTCACGTTCCCCCCACTCTCCCCTCCCCAAGCCAGCATTAATTTCCTCTCTGCCTGATGGAGGGGAGGGTCTGAGAGTCTCCCCAGGTGTCTTTGAAGGTACTGGGAGCCTGAAGTGTGGAAGGTGAACAGTTATGACACATACATCCAAGTGGTCACAACAACTCCCTGCAGATGGATCCTGAAAAGCACCCATCCCCCTCCCCCCTTGAGGCTGTTCCCCACCCGGGGTCCCACCACCCTATGGCCATTTTGAAGGCCACTCCCATCTCCTCCTCACTTCCTGTTCAATAGCAGGGGGAAGCGTAGAGCTGAGTTAGAGAAAACGCTCAGTGGCTGATGACCTGGCAACCCTCTTAAACCATGGGACTTTCTTAACTACCGCAGGCTGGAGCACAGTCAAGCCAAGCGAAGGGGGAGCAGGGAGAAGAAAGTGCAAGGACACATATTTCGGCCAGTCCTGACTCGCTCTGCAGCTTGTGACCCTCCTATTTTTATAGCAGTTACACGAAGCACAGGAAAGTCCAAAATAAGTTCTGCAAAGTGGGGCAGCTGTGTTCGCTCTTCCTCCCGTCTCTCTAACCTTTCGAATCCTCTTTAACGCCTTGTGTATGTGCAGAATCTCTCCCGAGTGTGTGCGTCCGGTCCCGGTGAGGGATGTCTTGGTCACGTGCCCCCCGAAAAGCGCTGCCTCTGGAATGGGCCCTTCTTGCAGTGACCTCTTTCCACCGTGGCATCTGCAGAATAACCATATCACGCGGGGCTCTCCGCCTGCTCTGTCTCTGGTCTCAAACTCAAGTCAGCGATTTCCCTTGAAATTGTTTTTCTCGCTATTTCCTGAACCCTGGCAGCTACTTCTTCAGGGGGAATAAAGCGGATAGGAGCAATAAATTTTTCAAAAAATAAAAACTGCCTTAGTCATCCAACTCAGTAAAAACTTAAACTTCTTAACAGGCCCCTTCTCGGATCTGCAACTGAGACAGAACGTTTGGCCAGAAAGAGGATAGGACAACGTCTGTTCAGCCACAGCTGAAGAAACTTGCAATTATGCATCCTGCCACTCTCTGTGGCCTTAAAGCTGAATTGTCCTGACCCAGCGTGGCTGGCGAACCAAAGGCTGTTAGGCATTTTAGAATTAGCCAGCAGTGGTGACTGCCAGTGGAACAGAATTTACATACCCAGTGTTGCCTCATCGCAAATTGCTCTAAAAAATTCCTTTCTGTCTCAGTCTGTTGTAAATGAGGGGGTTACGGGAATGTGGGGGAGTGACTAGGACGCCTTGCTGCCTAATTTTATTACCTTAATGTGCTTCGGTGCCCGGATGTGCCAGCAAAAATAAAGGCGAAGATACGCCATCTCCATTGCCCATTATTGAGCAATAATGGGAGAGGATCGCCTTGGTTGCATTCATTAGCCAGACGAGATGATGGGATAAAGACATAGATTCCAAGGGAATAACTGACACTGTTGCCATAATTGGGACATTTTATCATACGCAGTTTTCTTTTTTCCCTCAGTGCTGATAATTATCTCAGGCTAATGCACTCTGGGCTAAAATTTCTCAGCAATTCTCAGCTTATGTAGGACATTTCTGTATGTATACATTTCTGATCAAATAGAATTAAGCAGTTGGAGAACGCAGAGTGTCTTTTGTCTCCAGCGAAGACTTAGGTGCTTGGATAACACAGAATTGCCTGTTTGCCTTTCAAACTCAACCTTGTTGAGTACCTCCAAAGGTAATCCTAGAAAGAAAGACATGGTGCCTCCGATGCCACATCCTGAGAAACTCTGTTGGCCACTGATACCAGCCTCGCCATCTGAGATCCTGGGGACTCTGCTGGGTCCTGGCCTTGCCAACCTCCCTGTCTCTCGGTCTCCCCACCAAGGCCCGAATTGTGTGAGTCCAAATGGCAGCACGAGGTCACCAGTTCCTCCTCACCACACCGCTTCTCTAAATTACAGACCCTCCTCCCAGCTCCTTCCACACTTACTATACCCAAATTTAGATAAAAGACGTTTTTCTTAATTTTCTCTTTTTCTTCAGGCAAATGGCCTCTCCAGTGGCCTGGAGCCACATGTGCGGGGCACCACCCACACTGCCATCTTCCACTAGACATCTCCCTGCCCCGCTTGCTGCCTTCGAAGGACCAAAGCAATGCCTGGCAACCCAGTGCAGACCTGATGGGGCAGTGACCCCCCCAAGACATTCTTGGCTGTTCCTGAGCACCCCACACTCTCCTTCTCACCAGAGCAGGCCACCCCCTACCACCTTCTCGACTCTACTGTCTTTCTAGATGATTCTGTGTGGGCTTACCTGATAAACACGTTCCATTAAGTAAGCACTTTTCTCTACTCTGCCCAAATATAATGAAAAACAATTTGGACGGGTGGCGAGAAGGTTAACAAAGAGGCCACAAAGCAGTAATATTTTAATTGGTTCCTTTTCTGATAACTGGCTTTCAACTAAGGAGGCCGGACATGCATCTTGTGTGCAGGGAAGGATGGCCAGTCCCTGAAGAAAACCAGGAGAAAGACTTGGCGTCTGGTGGAGGGATCTGGGGGCAAGCAGCTGATTTGAATCCATCGCAGGATGTGGAGAGTGGGTGAGTGATAATGGGTCGCTCCATTCCAGTGTGCCAGGGGGACTTCGGACTGAATAAAAATGGTAGGTGACCGGAGGGGGCCAGAGTCAGAAACAGAGTGAGTGTGGGAGGCCAGGGAGTTGTCCTCAGAGGGGAACAAAGGGGCCAGAAGACCCAGCCAGTGCTCTCTCTGTTGGCAGCTGAACGGACGGAACCGATGGAAAGCCAGAGAGAAAGAGTTAAGGCAGATCAGA